ATATTGAGAAAAAAATGCAAATTATTAGACAATGGTTTATGATTTCCTAGTTATATCATATGTAAGACTATATTCCTTTTCACACTAAAGGAAAATAATTAAATAATGTTTCTAGCATTTGCCTATTTTTTTTTTTCATCATTAGTAATTTGCTAAGAAATATAGACTATCCAAAAAATAAAAAAAGTGAGGAAAATATTTAGAAGGCATCATTGCCACAATTCGTCTTATATCAAAAAAGAGCGCACTTTTTTAGTTATTCTGAAATTTAATTTTACCAGACCTCGTAATTTTGTTTTCACCTTTTCGGTGAAGTACGTTTAAATAGAAAAGCTGCGAACAACGAAAAGACAGAAATATTTTTATTTAACTTTCGAATTTTACGTATCTTGAAATGTTAAACTTAGAATATCAAAGCGGATTAACATTTTTTTCTTGATCGTTTACAAAGGTTGGTTTAATTTTTTTTTTTTGGGTGGGAGGCTTCAGCCCGAAAGCTTTTTTTTCATAAAAATAACGATAATGACTGGAAAAAAAGAAAGAAACTAACTACCTATATGAAATGGTGTTTAAGTGATTCCTAAATTCCTTTTAAATGTAATTACACTACAATAATACTTTAAGAGATAATTACTTTAAGATAATTATAATACAATAATACTTTAAGAGATAATTAAATTAAGGGCTTCAAATTTAATTACAAATTTAAAAACAAGATTTTTTTTTTCGTATACATATAACGATAATTAATTTTTTAAAAAAGAACGATGTTAACTACCTATATGAAATGGTGTTTAAGTGGTTCTTGAATTCCTATTAAATGTAATTACGCGAACAAGAAAACTTTAAGAGATAGTTTATCATATTTTTTTCTGTAAAACATGGTTATATTTTACCATTTTGGGGGGGCTTCAGCCTGAAAGCCCCGGCCCCCCCCCCCGTAGATCCGCCTGTGTTATCAGTATTCTTAGCACCAGTTACTCCAACTCAGTAAAGCTTAGATTAAGCGTTATCTAAGATTAAACCAAGTTTAATCTTAGATCGGTCGACCTTTAAAAACTTGGTTTAATCTTAGATTAAGCTTAATCTAAACTTTACTGAGTTAGAGTAACTGGCCCTAAATGTAACAATCTACTTAATAAGGGATTAGCTTGTTCTACTGGAAAATATCTAGCCTACAGAAATTGGTCAATATCAATATGAAGGCACGGAGGTTAAGATGGGAGGAACATATTAACAGTTCTACGCGACATTGAATACCAAAATAGTAGGCAAAACACCGTATGAAAAGCCAAGAAGCAGATGGATAGATCGAATCAACAACAAGATACAATAGAGCTGTATGTAGATAACTGGAAAGAAATAGACCAAGTTGGCTTGTTATGGCGCGAAAGATCTACAAAGTCTGGAATGGCAACAGGAAAAAAATAAAATGGAGAGATATTTTCAGTGAGAAAGGCTAATCACTTATTAAGTAAATTTTTTCTTTAGCAGTCTTATGTTTTATGTTTTAAATAGGCTATCTTGATAATCTTATATTACATATACCAATAAATATATCGCTTATACGTCGAATGCTCAGGGAGAACAGCTATATGATATGTAAGTTTATTCTAGGATATAGTAGTTAATATTTAGTGCCGGTTGTAAAATTGGAGTTCAAGCTTGAACTATAACTGTACAACTGACCTTTAATTCACCTATTCGCCAGAAGTTAAACAAATACATCCATATTCAGAACCATTAGATATTAATAGCTAGGTGTGAGCATGAGAGAGGCAGGTGCTCATATTTCGTCCTCTAATTGAGGCAGTTGGCTAACCTGGTGGCAGGCGGAAACAAATTATCCCTATATAATTAAGTATTCCCTTTTTCCCATCTTACGGAAGTCCAAAATGAATAATTCCTCTCATTTTGCAAAGCAGCCGCTACAATGCCTAGGCATCTTCCACACATCCTGAAGATAATTTTTTTCTCTCAATTAAAAACTTCGGCAAATGTCAAAATAAATATTATCATTTATATTTGCCTTCTTATTTGACTGATCACACCAACTATTGTTCTCTTCATTATTCACGACAGTCAACCATTTACCCACAGTTATGATATTTTACAATTGTTAAACGTATGCCCTATGCGCGGAAGCCATTAAATCTTCAATTTCGAGAGCATGATTTGTAGTTAATTTTAGTATTGAGTCACTAACGTAATTTATGTTTTAATCCATTAAAAAAATCCTAATTTATTCTTTTTTTTAATGATTTTTATATTTATCAAGATTTTTTTTTCAATTTTAGATTCGTGTTGAACATCTCTAAAAACAAACTGAACCATTGAAAACCATTATAACAGAATTTTTCACTTTGAATCCTTATTGAAATCATTTGACTTGGCTATTCTTAGATAAAACAGTCTCGTAAGTCGACTTCAATATGCTCAATTTGTTTCTAGTGATTGCAAACGATACTTTAAAGGACAGCTATTCTAACATAATCGGTTATAGTTTTCTAGATTGGTTTCTACTCCGTTATTAAGAGTCGTAGTGTAAAGTTATTAAGTCTAGAAAAAGCATTCTTCAATAAATGGTCTATCTAACAGAAAAATATTTTTTCATATCGGACTGGTAGTTGCTGACATTATCTCGTTCAAAGAATCTCTTAAGCTTTATTTTTTAATGTATACAATACTAGACCAAATATAATTACTATTTCTTCATCTTCTAATGACGTCTCTGGTTAGTCAGAGAAGGATTGGTAAAAGATCCATTCGCTTGAGGACTGAATGCAAAGTAGAGGTTTGATTTCCGTCCACGTAATATCAACTAATTTGTCTGCCGGTTCAAGTATGCATGAGCGTCTATTTGCTAATATCCTATGCATGAAGCGTCCGTTGAAGAGCGTCGGGTTGATACAATTCTTTTAGTAATCGATTTAATATTGCAGCCTTAGTCAGTTGAATTATGATCAGTCACCGCTATGTCCAGTGCCATTTAAATTATTATAGTTAATAGGTTTTCTGAAGTGAGCCATTAAATCTTCACAAAAATTGTATTAATAATAATTAAGTACAAGAAGTTTATTAAGTGTGCAAACAAGCGTGGAAGATTGATTTTCTTTATAAAAACATTTCCTCTCAAGTTGTAGAATTAGAGGCACTTTTTTCTTTCAATGAAGGCGGAATTCCTTCCTGCATTTATAACTATACCTTTTCTACTTTACTTGTGTCATTTGCAATGCAATTTGTCGAGGTTAATATTGGTCTATCGACCGTGCAAGGATTTTCTCATCAACACGCTTGGAATCGAATGCATCATGGCGACATCGATCATTCAACGAAGTCGATTTAATTTTATCATTATTGTTGTATCTACATCGTTAAATAAAAATAGTATTAGTTCTTCGCCGCTATTCTCTTCTATCATTAACAAGATAAATGAGAGAGAGAAAATAAAATAAATAAACAGAATCGTTATTTAAATAAGTATGGATTATAAATGTCCGATGCGTGAAATGATTATGGAAGAGTAGGTTCCTAAAGTAAACAATACAAGATTTTCTAAAACAAATCTGGTGAGAATCTGTAAAGAACTGAGAGGGTGTTCTAGCCGCGTCATCGAGAATCGACACGAAACCTCACTACCACTTCTTCGATTCTCGTTAATTGAAAATTGACCGATTCCTTGTGAATCGTGATTCTTTCCTGTGAATCGATTGAGAGTATGATTCTTTCAGATGAATCGACTTAATCGAATTCATTTTTTTCTGATTTAAATTAATTCTAATTTGTCAATTATCTAAAATACACAGAATGTTTCAGGATCAAGTATCCTCAGTGAATATATGAATTTGAAGTGAATGATGAAGATCTCACTACAATAAAAAATGTCCGGTGAGGATATGTCCGTTTATGCTTTGTTTAGAAGATTTCATGCATAACCTTGTTTCTCCAACTGAACATTCTACCTGGAATCAGCAATAGGGACTCTCGATAGCATTTAAAGTTGCACTAGATTGGATGGAGATAAACGATTATGAATAATTTTAAAAAATAGTTTTTTAATTCTCTTGTATTTCAGCTTATTGAAGAACTAAATTCTTTAAATATATATTTTTTTTTCATTAATTTAAACTGTTTGATGTTCTCGATTAAAGCTCTAAGAGTTAGTATATGATATAACAGTTAGTATACCAATAGTATTGGTATACCAGTATTGGATTAATATTGGTTGCAGTAAGGTATTTGCAGAGAAATTTTAGCTACAGATATTTTTGAATATTTAATGGTTGACCGTTGCACTATAAAGGAAGGAGATGGTCCGGGGTTGCGGTCATAAAAAGGCTAAATAGTGGTAAAACTATTTTATTGAAAGCCAACGTTTCGACCCGACTTTGCAGGTCTTCATCAGGGAGGTGTGTTCCTCTAGGAGTTTCACTTAGAACTGAGTGAAACTCAGTTCACTAGGGAACACACCTCCCTGATGAAGATCTGCAAAGTCGGGTCGAAACGTTGGCTTTCAATAAAATAGTTTTACCACTATTTAGCCTTTTTATGACCGCAACCCCGGACCATCTCCTTCCTTTACAGATATTTTTATGTGCCTTTATCACAATCTTGAAAAAATATAAATTTTATGTTTAGAAATTATTTCATCTATGATGAAAAAATACGAATTAATTCAAATCCCCTTACATAATCCCTACAATCCTCCTTGAAGTTTGAAATGGCAGCGGGTCGGGTTTTTTTTTTTTTTTTTGTAATATGTGCGTATACTAATACATTTTTTTTTTCTATTGTCGGCACAAAACTACCATTGAAGTCCTATACTGCTACCAATACATACATATTACAAACGTCGTTACTCTGAATACCTTAGTTTATTGTTTTAGAAATTATACTAAATAGTATAGTAACGTAAGATATTTCATTATTATTCTTTGAATTGTATTTGTTTTAATTTGCTTTGAATAAATTATTAATAAATATATTGATCATGCTTGCAGATCTGGGGCTGTGGTTCGTACGGTGGCCTGAACCGATCACCGCTCCGGTCGGGGACGACGTGGTGTTCGAGTGCTCAGTAAACGTTCCGGCGGAGTCAGTACGGTGGCGGCAAGGCGACCATTGGCTGCAGCAGGACCGCCCGCCCCCGCCGCGTCCCACCTCCACCTCCAGGCTGCTAGTCAAGTTCGAGGACGAGAAGCAAGAAGGGGACTACCAGGTATGGTTTATAATTTGTTATATTATATCCCAACAAGTTTAATGTATTAAATATCAGAAATAAATATAGATGTATCGGAAAGTATAATGGTATGGAGATGATAGGAGAAGTTGGTCGTGGGTGCGGTCAATATATAGTACTATAATAGTACTTCATTGTATTTGCCTACGTACCGAACTACGTTATAGGTCTTCATCAGGGCATTTCATCTGGCATTGCCTGAAGAAGTCAATGACTGCCAGTGCGTCAGACAACTAAATGCTACCTAGTCCTGTCCACGGGCGGATCTACGGGGGGGAGGGAGCTTTAGGGCTCAAGCCCCCCCTCCCCCCAAAATGGTAAAATATAACCATGTTTTATAAGAAAAAATATTTAAAAATTATCTCTTAAAGTATTATTGTTCGTGAAATTACATTTAAAAGGACAAAAGGAATCACTTAAACACCATTTCATATAGATAGCTAGTTTCTTTATTTTTTTCCAAAGCAAATATCGTCATTTTTATGAGAAAAAAAAGCTTTCGGGCTGAAGCCCCCCCCAAAATTAAATCCTGGATCAGCTAGTGGTCCTGTCATAAATATTGTTACAATGAAATGTATACAGATTTCAACAGAAAAATTATTCTTTTCAAAAACTTTATTAGAAAATAAAATGTATATCTATTGAAAGTAAAACAAAAAAGAAATTACTCAAAATGTCCCCCTTTTGCCTTGACACGATCATTTAATCTCCGTGGCCAGTCATCGATAGCAGCACGCAGCACTTCTTGAGGAAAGCGCTCAACTGCTCTGACCTGAGATTGTTTGAGGCTTTCCAAGTTAGGGTGTGCTCTGTGGTATGCCATCCTCTCCAGTTCAGACCATGATAATCTAGTGGGTTCAAATTAGGGCTTCTTGAGGGCTAATCCGAGGCAGAGATGAACTCAGTAATGTTCTTTTACAGCCACTACTGAGCTGGAGCGGAATCCTGCTGGAAAACACAATAATATCCAGTTAACAGAATTTAATTTAGAGGCTTGACAACGGATTCAAAAATATCGTCCTGATAGTTTTTAGCGGCTGTTTTAATCCCAAAAATGGAGCTTTGTGGTTCCATCAAAGCAAACTATCACTGAAGAAGGGTGGTGGCCTCTTTCCAATCTTCCTGGGCTTCTTTAGAGCTGTGTGCGTACACACGATCATTTTGGAGATTAGATTTTTCTTCAATTGTAAAAATTTTCTCATCGCTAAACAAAATCTTTCGATGAAGACCACTGTTGTAACGACCAAGGATGTATACAAAGTTCAACTTTTGTAACAGCATTTACGGCAGGTATTATAATCAATTCCGCCCTTAGACATTTGGCGCTTTCGAGTAATGACGTCTTCTTCCCCAAAAGAATTTAATTTATTTCTTAAGCTTTTTTATCTTGAGTTGTTTTCTTAACAGTCTAAATTATCATTTATTTATTTTTAAATGTTAACAAGTGACGACACCCCCGGCCAGTTACTTAAAAATACAAAAGGATTAGAATTAATAGAGTCAATGTTTGTGAAGAGAAATCACAACATAAATAAAGCCAAAATCGGTGCTCTGGGTAGTATTTTCTCAATGATTACCATTATTTTTAAAAAAAATTGTCCTCCCTCCTACCTCATAAAAAAATAATTCTGAATCTGATGATGTTTTTGTCTTATGCCCTCGCAATATTTTTATTTGATTACTATTATTATTTGACTGATTTAGTCAAATCATATATTGAAAAGTTCGATATTGTTGCCTAGGCAACGGCTTACCGTAGGCCGGTTCCTCCATAGAGATCTAAATCTATAACGGATATTAAGAACCTGTGCTATGCCCTCAATGCTCGTTCCTGAACGGACCTGCTCGTTGCCTGCCGGCGACGACCTCTCAAGGTGAAACTTCGGCGATCACCCAGAAGAAGGCAGCTGTTGGAAGCCTGGTCATTAGGAATGGACACCTGCCCCATTACAATACTAATATTGTGTATTTACAACTTACAGCAGGGGAGACCCTGTACCTACCGAAACCGGTAAAAAAAAGGGCCAACTCAGTAAACATTCAATATGAGTGTCATCCTTCAAGAGACCAGTCTGCTCATCCATATCGATTGATTTTTGGAATGTTAGATAAATATCGATGATTAAATAAATGTATCAATATTAAAATTTAACCATCAAAAATCAATATCCTCTCCCCCCTTAAAAAAAATGACTAAAATATAATTAAAAATCTCTATAAGGAAAGCTGCAACACTGATGTGTACAAAAAAAAAAAAAAAAATGAGATTATTCTTAAACTGTAACTGAAAAGTATTGATAAATTATTTTTTTATTTCCTATTACAACTTCTCTTTTTTGGAAGGTTTTAATGAAGATATGAGTTATTTGTATAGGTTTCATTCATTATTAATTTAAGCATTATTAGTTGAGCAATTTAAGTAATTTCTCCACAGTTCTTAGTAAATGAGTCTTAAATATTTGTTAATACTTTTATAGGTTTTTAGACATTTATTCAACCTTTATTTTCTTCCACCCTTTCTTTTTTCTTTTTAAATTCAAGCAACTTTTGATTTTTTTTTTTTATTGATATTTTCCTAGTTACTAGTTATAAGATTTTTTTTTTAGAACGTTGTTAAAACATAAGTATATATATACTGCATATATATGTATATATATATATATATATATATATATATATTTCTTTTTTTTTTCTTTCAATTTATTTCTTTTTATATTTAAGTAACTTAATTGATTTTTTTTTCTAGTTACTAGTAATTAGATTTCTAGTAATAAGATTTTTTTTTTTTTGAGATGTAAAAGTTAATAAATTTAATACTTTTTTTGCATTGAGCATTATAACATTTAATTGTTGCTATTTCCTAATCCTTTGGTGTCTTATAATTTGTATTCATTATTTTTTCAGTTGTTTAATGAATAATAATTCTGTGTATACTTGTATGTACTTTTTTGTTCCTTCTTATTTTTAATTCACCCCACTGACACTTCAGAAGTATCTTCACTAAGAGACTCATGAATTGTTTCATAAGATACATCTTCGGGATCCCCAGGCGTTCATATGTTTAACTCTGGTACACCGAGTTGAAGTGGCTTTATCCTACTTCAAGATGACAATTCCTCCTTGGTATTTTTCTTTTCCAAGTCTTCAGAACCAAACACCCTCCCTACATCCTAGAACTCCTTTCTCTACACTCCTCTATCCACTTTCTCAACACTAGGTCTCAACCTATAGACTTATATATTCCCTCCCATAAAATTTCCTCCGTCAGCAAATCCTTCGTCATTCATGCTGCTTCCTTATGGAACTCACTTCCTACCTCCATGCTTCAATCCTCGTCCACAAATTCATTCAAACAACTCAACAACAAAATTACTTGCATCTGTACAATGTTCAATTTCAATCCATTGCATAATCAAAATAACAATTAACTGTAAATTAGTTTGTATTTTTATTATGTCAGACTAAGATCCATAAATTTTTAACTCTGTTATTATTCTTAGGAGACAGTAGTCCCAGAATAAAATTATTTTTTCATTTCATTTCATTTTCATTTCACTAATACGTAAACCTAGATGACACTAATATATACCTATGAATATGATATCTATTGGTCCTTTTATACACCAATATCACCTTTTTTTTCTACTTTACCTCACTCTTTCGACTATCTGTAGTATTTCCCAGTCTAGGGAAGTAAGTGGTGGTTTGATATCAGAGTTAAAAGCCCCTTGCACCAACTCATAATCTTCACTTCATATATGATTTGCATTTGTCAGTCCACTTGCCAACCTCATCCCTTACACCAATATCATTTTTTTACCATGGATTTACATTTTTAATCCATCTATTCTAAAATATTTATGCTTGCAGTGCGTTGCTTGGTTCGGAGCTTCTGCTCTGGCTTCTACCCCGGCAAGGCTGACTCTGGCAGAACTGCAGCCATTCCTCTACCAGCCGCAGAAGGAGGTCCGAGTTACTCCTGGGAACACAGTTGCCATTGCTTGCCCACCTCCAGTTTCTAAACCTCCAGCTGTTATTCAGTACCTTCAAGATGGTACAGTAATGCCAGGTTAGTGTCTTGACATACTTCATCAATGTATTGTATAGTCTTTAAAAATAAATTTAACTAGTAAGTTCTGTTACAGAATCTTCTAACACTTTAGCCACTACTGGTACCCTGATACTTCCAAACGTCACGGCTAAAGACTCTGGTGTGTACACCTGTACTGCTACCAACTACATCACTGGGATGGTGATCAACTCTCCCATGAAAGTCGTTCTTAAAGTGGAGAAATCTAACGAATCAGGATCACCTCGCTTCTTATACCAGCCACAGACAAAGTACACTGTTCAAGCAGGTCAGTATATTTATAGTATTTTTTATGATGATAGATAGGTATCTGCTAGTGAGGCCTGCTTCCTTTTGAAAAACAATGATTTAGGAAAAAAAAAGATTGTTAGACACCTGAAATTACTACTAAGTTCTTACAAAAGTCCTTGTGCAGTAACTCAATCCTTAATTCCAACTCTCATAATTAATCCTATAAAAATTTGTTCCTATGATTTACGTCAATGCTTACTTTGACTAATTCTTTAATTCCTTGTGAATTGAGTTTGTTTTCTGGGATCATTTAAATTTTTAAAACGCACATGCAATGTCATAAGAAAAAATCATAATTCGCGGTCTTTTGGACAGTACTGGAAAAAAGTTTTAAGCGCAAAGGCAGCCACTGAAGAAATTTACGCCATAGAAAGAGAGTCAGTTATGCATCTAAATATTACCACACTTTGATTCAGGCTTTTCAACAACAGGAATATGAGGATTCGAACTTCAAATGTGTTATGCATTTATGTACTTGATGTTATTCTGGATGGTCTCAAGCCTTTACCGTGAACAGCTAGGCAGAATTTATATAGTTTTAAGTGCAAAATACACCGCTTTGTTCAATAGGAACTAAGTCATTTTGCAACATAATAATGCCCCTGCACATTATTTTCATTTGACAAAGGAAAAATTATTAGAACTGCAAGGAGTAAACATTTTACCTCGTCCTGCATATAGTCAGATATTTCACCATCTGATTATGAGTTGTTTGTGTGTTAAGATTGGATGTGAAAAGTTGGCGAAGTTCTTTTTCTCAAAACCGAAGGAGTGTTTTTAGCCAAAACATCTTATAAGGAAATAAAAAATCATATCCAGTAACGCATCCCTGGCCATTTTTTAAAATAAAAATTGTATAAAATACATTTTTTTCTTCATAACCTCTAAATTAATCATAAAGATTTCCTCACTAAATCTCTGTAAAAATTAATAGGTCAGAACATTAGTTTGGAGTGCTGTGGAATTGGAAATCCAGTTCCAGTCGTGAGCTGGAGAAGAGTAAACAGCGACTTACCAATCGGAAGGAGTGAGCAAATTCCAGGAGGTCTGAGGATAGCAGGTGTCCAACTGGCAGATGCGGGTCAGTATGTCTGCGAACTCAAGAATGGGGTTCCACCAATGATTGCTCAGCTCATAACTCTTGAAGTACAAGGTGAGATTTAGATCTTCTGTTCCATTATAGATTTCTGCTTCTGTATTCTGTTTTACTATTACTATACTTTATTAGTATTATAATACCATATTTCACAGGATTTGCTATATCAATCGGTAAAAGAACAATCATTTTATGTCAAAAACTCGTTTTTAAGTATAAGTTTGAAAGATATAAGTTCTTGGAGAAGTTTATAAAATATGTTAAATTTAATTATTTTATTCACTAATTTGATTATTAAAGTTTGTGTCTAGTTTTAGTGAATTTGTAAAATTGTAGTTAATCTAACATTAGTTTTAGTTTATATGTCTTTTGCCTTAATCCACAAAGTTGTAATTACAACTATATGGAGAAATAAAGAATGTATTTGTGCAACAATATTTCATTTTTGAAGCATTACTTCAGTGCTGAAAAAGTTCAATTTATAAATAAGTTGACATGGTTGTCCTTATATTCTTCAATATAGCTACCAGAACAACTAGTATATATTTTATATTAAATAATTTGGAAACAAAACATTAATGTGTTTGTTATCTGTGAGCAGTTCCTCCGACGGTGAGCAAAGGCCCAAGTAATGCTGTAGTCGAAGAAGACAGTGACACAGAGCTAACCTGTGAAGCAACAGGTTCACCGTCACCCAACATCACGTGGTTTCTTAATGGCGAGTCCATTCTTAATGACAGCCACATAACACCTCAAGGTAAGTGACATTTTTAAGGGAGAATGTGATTATAAAATGAATAGTTAGGATGTTGTGTAAAAAAAAATTAAATAAATGTTATCCAAAAAGTTTATTATAAAAAATAATGTTAAATGGAAAGATCCGTTAAACTAAAAATGAAAAATATTATATTAATGTCATAATTAATATATTAGTCAGTAGTCTAATTATTTAAGTAGTCTAGTTGTTTAAAATTTAACTTTTAAAAAGTTTTGTATATATATTTTTTTCATTTATACAATTTTCTTATTAATCAGAACTTTCTAATTATAGGAGGTAACCTCATAATTAAAAAAATTCAGAAGAGGCACGCTGGTATATTCCAATGCTTCGCGACAAACGCCGCAGGAGTTACATTCGGTGCTGCTATGATTCAGGTGTCGCCTACTCAAGTTACAGCAGGAGATCCACCCCCTTATCTTCCAGAAATTGACAGTAATGGTTAGTTTAAAGACATTCAATTTTAATTAAGTAATTATTACTATGATTACTTTTTAATTAAGTTAATTGATTTATTGATATGAATCTTAATTCATTCTCAATCAGTTCTACGTATTCAACAATATGTTCAGCCTTTTAAAAGTGTATGAAAATTTTCTCATAACTAGTAGAACTATCTGCTTACATCAACTGACTTCGAAGTTTGACTGATATTGGTTTTGAGAAGTATTCATTATTTTAAGGACATATTGTCATGGACAAAATTTGTTCGTAACATTATGTCCTTTCTAATTCACTAAATAAAGATGGAATTGTTGATATTAATTCATTTAAGATGTGAAAATGCTATAAAGTTGGAACCAAAACTTTAGAAATCTTAATTATTTTTAATATTAATTATTTGTGAAACTTTAACTTCCTTCTATGGTCTTATTGTCAAGTATTTACATTTTATTGATGTTGATGTAATCAGGCCATAATTTATCTTACTCTACTGTTTTTGTCTATCCTATTTACCATCATCTGCTTAAAAACTTAAATAATTATAAAGGAAGGAGATGGTCTAGGGTGGCGCTTATTATAAATAGGCTAAATAGTGGCAAAACTATTTTATTAAAAGCCGACGTTTCGACCTGACTTTGCTGGTCTTCTTCAGGGAGGTATGTTCAGCTAGGAACTTCACTTAGAACTGAACTCCTAGCTGAACATACCTCCCTGAAGAAGACCTGCAAAGTCAGGTCTATTTAGCCTATTTATGACCGTCACCCCGGACCATCTTCTTCCTTTATAATGCAACGGTCAACTATTAAATATTCAATTAAATAATTATAGGAGTATTTTTGCTGTTTCATCTTCCTTGTCATTTTTTCTTTTATTTTTCGTTGTTTTTTTTATATATTCTGATGATAGAGATGCAAAAAAAAAAAAGGTTGTTATAAATTAAATATAAATGGCTGAATAAAACTTGAAAGGAAGTTAGAAGTTTGCTAATAATTAAAAAATAAAAACATTCTGTAGAATTTCCATTACCTAGAAGATTAATAATGTTAAGATGTATTAAAATAAATGGTCTAGCCAATTGAAAACAAATTATATTTTCAAACATAAATTGTTGCATTTAAAAGCGATTGTGATAGTTCATAACTTTAAAAAACGTTTTCAATATAAAAAACTTAAATGAAAAACCACTTCATAATAGTTGAAATAATTAATAGATTTAAACGGAAATTATACATGTATTTTCCATTATTTATAGAACAAATTGAATCATCAACTACACAAGGACCTGGGCGTGGACGGAAAAAAGATCATCCAAGAAAAAATAAGGACAGGCGAAGAGAAAAGAAGCATCGCAATAATGGTAAATTATAATTTATTATTTTGGTAATTTTATTTTATAATCAAACTCTGATAAGTATATTTATATCAACTAGTATATTTTTTAAAGAAATATTGTGTGTCAATGTTTAAAGTTTTATTCACTTACTGAAAGCATCTTATATTATATATATCTTTTTCAAAAGTTTTTAATTCCTTATCCTTTTTAACAGTGATGATCCCGCCAACTAGACCCAACATCACCAGACTGAGCAATAAGTCAGTAATGGTACGTTGGTCGGTTCCTCCGAATCCTGGCTTGCCAATTCAGTTCTTTAAAGTACAGTACCAGGATCTGGATTCTAGTGGTAAACATGGGCAGTGGATGACTTCCAATGAAGATATCCAGCCTCACATTAATAGCTACGAAGTGGATGGGTTAATCACAGGTCATCACTACAGGTTTGTTGAAATTTTGAAATGATAAAATTTTTTACATTGTTTAAGCTCGATATCTTGGAAAGAAAATTTATTATTAAGTACCAATTTGTGTAATACATGCCTGTTTACTATACTTAAAGAACCGTCATTAAAAACAAATACATCTTATTTGACAGAAAGAGTCTATTCAGTTTGATATTTTTATACTAATAAAGTTTTTTGTTTTTTTTACCATAAATGGTTAATTTTAAACTATTAAAAGAAAATTTACAGTACTTTTAGTACTTTTTTCTTGTATTATAAGTATATAGAATAAAATTCAAATTTTATTCTGGGATTATGTCTCTTGAGAATTAAAGAACAAAATGTACAACTAAATAGAAAATGTAACTGGTCAAAAACTAAATCAATAAAATCCAATCAGTATATAAATTATAAACAGTTTAAAATACTTGAAAAACAAAAAAGAAAAATCATCTCTTGAATAAATAGTACTGAAATGAGCAAATATAATAAAACTGAAAACCATGAATAGATCCTTGAAGTTAAAACTAAAATATTAAAACTATTATTCACATATCACCAATATTCTATTTTCATGTTAAAATTTTATGATAAAAAAGCATCTGTTTGGGATATGAGAAGATAATGGAAAAAGAGGGATTTGAAAGAGGATTGGGAAAGAAACATGGCATACATTAGTTGAGAGGAAATCTTAATAGTGACTGCGAATGATATTCATTCAACTAAGCTAGCAAACTTGCTTACAGTTTTTCAAATTAAATGGCTTTTATGGTTACTGCCCTGTTGGTATGAATTATAACATAATGATACAAATCCTAAAAAACTCTTTCTCAATAAATTTTATATATAACACAAAAAGAATTTTTTGAATTGGACTGTTATTTCTTCAAATTAGCATGTGCAAATAAACTCCTTAGGTTTATATACCAGTATCGATCAGTACTGAACTAAAATGATATATTGTAATGAAAAATGTTTATTAGTTTATACTGATTATACCTCAAGTATATATTGTTTATGAATTTATATATCTTTTATAGATTTAGGATTGCTGCAGTCTACTCCAATAATGACAACAAACTTGGCAGGACTTCAAGTAAATTTCACCTCAATCGAGGTCCTTCCAATGATGAAACTCCATTTTTCCCTCCAAACCTCACTTATGCTGAGTCTTTATCTCCTACATCTATAAGGATCCATTGGGAGGTGAGTTTTTGAGTTTTATTTATCTTACATTTAATATTGAAAAGATATATAAGTAATATATAAGAATGATGAACTCGTGAGTCACCTAAAACAATTTAAAGAGTTATCGACATGGAAAGATTCTAGAAATATTTAAAACATAAAAACTATTAAATAATATCTAATGAATTCTAATTTAAAAAATATGAATAAATCAGACCTGTGAAAAATTATTTCATTATTATTTTAAAATACCACATATTTAAATTATTTATGGAAAATGTATTTTAAATACTTTAATGTACAATATAATTTTAAGGAATTTTCTCAATTAGGCTGTCTGTCTGTATCACTTAGCTCATTTCTCACATCCTTACTGAAGATTAAAAGAAACTGCTTAATTTTTTTGTTTATGACTCTCTGTTTATAAGTTATAGCTTAAATAGAGCCCAAAAAGTCTTGAAAACATATAAATGACATATTCATGCTTCCTGTCTGAGTGGGCCTGAAGAAATTCTTTCAGTTAGTTGTCTAACTCATTTTAGTTAAAAATCTATCTAAGCGGTGTTAGAATTTATATGACAATTTTTTACTTTTCAAGATGCATAATATTAAAAAAATATTTCTTTTGAAAAACTGTCAAGTCTGGAATGAATCTTAAAATTTAATATTTGTTAAAAATATTTTCCATATTAATTTAATTCATCTTGTTTTTAGTACTTGAATTCTGTATTGGCTCCAGTTGATGGATTTTATGTTTACTATCGAGCAACGACAAGTGCTGGCGACTACATCAAAGCTACTGCTGAAGGACAGAATACAAGATCTTACTTGCTGAGCCACCTTGCGCCAGATACACATTATGATATAAAGATGCAGTCATTCACCGTGCGTGCAGCATCAGACTTTTCTGTGATAATATCTGCCAAAACTCTCAGTAAGTTTATCTCTACACAACCTTATAATCATATTATATTATTATACATTATGTTAGAATAGCTTAATAATAAGTTGTTTAAAAAAGCTGTTGTTGACATAAGAGAAGAGTTATTTTATCACAGACAATTGTATGTATAAGTAAGCTTTGTCAATGGGACCCCGCCGAGACATTCCCGTGTTTTTACCATTTCTAGGGTGATCTAGATTGGCTCTTCTTCTCCTTTCAAAGACTATATTTCATGTAAAAAAATAAAATAAAAAATTTTCCTTAGACACATTCTTATATCGAATTATGAACAGCTCTATCTTCTCCAAATCAAATCTTCTTTGCATTCCCTTACCATAAAGCCTTCTTAGGGGACTAACTGTCTCAGAACAAAGTTTATTTTCTTTCTTTGAAATTCTATTCTGTTCAAATTAGAACATGCATGATTAAACACATAAGTTTCCTAGAAGCGATCGAGTCTCTTCATTTCCAAGAGCTGACTGCTGTATTACTTTTATATTATCATTATTTATTCTAAAATTCATTGTGTTTTTTTTTTTTTTTACAGAAGAGATAAATGCGACGATAGCACCCGTTCCAGAGGTGATTGAAGCTGGTGGACTTGGAGAGAAGTCGTCACATGGTCAGCTGTATCTTGTCCTTGGTGCCGTAATATCTGGACTTGCTCTCATCTGCACTTTGGCTGGTGCCATCTGCATTTGCTACAGGCGATCTGCTGCCCAACAGGATCATGGTTCGCATCTATTTTTTTTTTAATCTAATTTAGGAATGAAGCGAATATTATAACTAACTATAGCTACTTCACTTTAACAATTAGTGATTTATAATAACATTTGGTTTACTAATGTAACTTGGGATAAATACTTAATGTGTCATATTGCTAAACAAATTGCATTAATCTTGAGTGAACAATCTTTCTGTGATAACTTGCTAAAATGTTATTACCTATATAGTCCCAAAATGGACCTCATCGCAGGCGGATGTTTGAATGTAAATTACAAAAGTATGTGTTATTATAAGTAAAATGAACCTTGTCTGCCATTCCAGAGCCAAGGGAAAACTTTTTGCAGCCATATTTTTCACCTACAACTCCTAAAAAGTTCAATTAAGTGAAGAAATTAAAGAATGTTAAATCATGCGTCGAACGAGTACATAAACTTAATAATTTGGTTAGGTAATATAGTAGAAAACTACAGTCAACGAATGCTGATTTTTACCAAAATTGTCAAAAACTGAGACAAATTACTCTAAATGAATCTGCTGCTTGGAAATGAGTTCCTTAACCCCAGTTAAATCTAAATGAGTTGGCAAAACAATTTTGATTTAAAAAAATTTAAATATTTATTGTTTTCAAGTTCGATTACATCGTTTTGTGGGGGTATGTTGACAGAGATACAATGCAAGTAAAGGTTTAAGAGAAAAAAAACAAAGTTGTAGAGTATCAAATTCAGCATCCATTAAGTACCAACATTTTTCAACCAACGAAAAACACTCCTAAACAGTTCAATTAAGTGAAGAAATTAAAGAATGTTAAATCATGCGTCGAATGAGTACATAAACTTAATAATTTGGTTAGGTAATATAGTAGAAAACCACGATCAACGAATACTGATTTTTACCAAAATTGTCAAAAGCTGAGACAAATTACTAAAAATGAATGATCAAAATGGGAAATATATTGCAAAAAATGTGGTTTATAGTAATTTGTTTATTTTTTAAACTTGTGTATTTAGATTCAATAATTTAAAAAACCAAAATTACTAATGCGAGCAACCAAGGGAAAATTTTTTACACCCAAAAAACCATATCTTTTTTTTTTATATGTAATTTATAATTGATGCATTGAACCAAAAAGCCTATTCTTTAAGAAATTTAAGAACCTTAAATTGAACATCAAACTAAACTTGAAAAATTGGTTTAAATTTTATGGTAGAAAACCACGGTCAATGAACGCTATTTTTACTAAATTTGTCAAAAACTGAGACAAATTACTATATATGGCCCTTCAGCTTGGAAATGAGTTGTCTAAGAGGAAAAATCCATTGAATAAAAATTGTAGAGCATAATATTCTACGTCCACTGAGCACTAATATTTTTAGTGCAGGTCATCATATCTCTAGAATCGAGGTTCATTATTTCTACATGAAATTCTGTTTTTTTTTACATCCCATTTCTCAAAATCCTTCACTACTGAGAGGTAGAAAAGAGGATTATATTGTATATAGCAAACTACAAAAAAGAATAATTCAGTAAAATATTCACCTATATTATTGAAATATTAAAAATCACACATACCTTTATTACCGATTTCCAGCCACTGGGAGTTTGAGCAGAGTAAGTGACCTACATTAACTGTTGGTTGGTTGAAAACTGTTGGTACCCAATGGATGCGATATTTGATACTCTACAGCTTTGATTGTATGAGTTTTTTTCTCTTAAACCTTAACTTACATTGTATCTCTGTCAACATACTCCCACAAAATGATCTAATCGAACTTGAAAACAATAAATATTTAAAAAAAAAAAAAATTGTTTTACCAACTCATTTAGGTTTAACAGGGGTTAAGGAACTCATTTCCAAGCAGCAGAGTCATTTATAGTAATTTGTCAAATTTTGGAAAAAATCATCATTCGTTGACCTTGGTTTTTTACTGTATACCTAACCAAATTATTAAGTTTATATAATCGTTCGATGCATGATTTAATGTTCTTTAATTTCTTCACTTAATTGAACTTTTTAGGAGTTTTAGGTGAAAAAAACAAAAAAATATGGCTTTTTTTGGCTTTAAAAAGTTTTCCCTTGAAATTTTTGAACCAATATATACAAGTTAAAAAAATAAAAAATGTTTGTACAATTTTCACAATATATTTCCTGTTTTGATCCTCAAGTTACCGGCTTCATATTCTTTAAATTAGCCACCATTTTGGAAAGCAGTAGCTCAAGGATAGCAGACAAGGTTCATTTTACTTAAAGCAATTCTCCTTTCATGATTTATATTCAAACCTTCGCCTGTGATGAGGTCCATTTTTGGAAAATATAATCCGGGGAGGAGAGGAGGGAAGGGACGAGATATTTTTGCCCTCCCCCCAATAATTTGAAGTGAAACAAAATTAAAATTGATATCAAATAAGCTACATGAATGAATAAAATATGTGAATGAAAATAAGAAATGTCGACTAGCTGGCTAAACTAAGGCCTGTAAGTTGGTACATAACTATTTTATCATGGCCCAAATATTTGTATTATTTAAATTTTCATTCAAAGTCAGGAATAATAATATAGAAACATATCCTTGGATTTTATGATTTATTCACCTTTCACATGGACACCTCCTAAAAAACAAAATACTAAACATATGTATACATGTTTTTTTAAATATCCAATATTATATTTGTTTGTTTCACAATAATTATTTTGAATTTGTACACATAATATGAACTACCACCATTTTTGCTTCCTCACTACCGAAGGTAGGGAAGCATTGTGTTCGTGCGAGAAATTAAAAAATTTTTTTTGCTCAGAATCGAAAATTTTCACTCGCGTTTTACGTTTCAGACATCAAGGATCAAATTTGGTTCGGTGTCTGTCTGTCCGTCTGTCTGTCTGTCTGTCTGTCTGTAGTCAAATCGATGTGACGGCCATATCACCTAGTACCGTTCATCCAATCTTCATGAAATTTTCAGAGATTATGCTGATCGGTGCCTAGATGGTCCCATATCAATTTTATCAAATTCCACCCAGCACTTCCGCTTACGCACGCGCAAACGTATATTTTTAGATATGCCAATATTTCAGAAAGGGCTCGTTCGATTTGGCTCAAAGTTAGATAAAAGGTAGACTTTGGTGAAAAAGTAATGTAGTGTCAATTTCATTGAATTGCGTCCAACACTTTCTCTTATATGTGCACTACTAGTCCGCCGTCCGCCGTCCGCGCATTTTTTCTGAAACTACTAGACCGATTTTTTTCGAATTTGGATATAAAATCAGAGGTCACCCGAGGATCATCCTCCTTCAACGACATTACTATTCGCCTTCTAGTTTCAAAATGGCGGCCGAAAAACCTGCGTTGCTATAGACTGTAGCGCCTAAACGAATGAACCGATTTTGATGAAACTTCGCTAAAGTCATTTTCTCTACGCCCTCTAAATTTATCTATACTACATACTTCAACGAAAAGAAGCTCAAAAAAAGTTACGAGGGATGGTAAAATTAAATTCCGAATAACTCAAGAAGTATACACATTTATGTCAATATTGTATATGGTTTTTTAGAAGTTTACGGAATTTCTTAAAAAACAAAAAAAAAATCGTCAAAATCGGACAATTAGGAGCAAAGATATCGTCTCTAGTTTTTTTTAGATGTGCTATTGCAAAAGGTTTATCTTTTTTTTGATTTCTGAATGTGTTACTGAAGTAATGCTATTTTTTTTATCATATTACTAATGATTAAAAAAGATTTTAGTCCAATAATTAGAATCACCTTTTATTTATTTTTCTTTATAACAAGGAATTTAATGTTACTTTATATGTATAATTGTTTGGAAATAATATACCAAAGAGAAATAATTTGCAGTGTTTTTTTTCAAATTAATTATCGTTATATATATATATTTAAATCTTTCGTGCTGAAGCCCCTCCTCCAAAATTAAATCTTGATTCGGCAATGTATATACTATTATTAGAGCATAAGTTCGTATGTAATAATTTTCAACTTTAATTCTATGTGTATTAAAGGTGATATTTTGTAGTCCTTCAACTGATATAAGTAGTCTGCTACTGTGGAAAATAGCAGATGAAAATAAAATATGAAATTATTCTAATAAAGCATAAAGAAATATTGAGTTTTTATGCACTCTTGTAAAACAATAAATACATTTATACATAAGACCTTTTGAACTAACAGCATTGAAATTCATGTTCAGTATGCATTTTTTTTTATTTATTTATTTTTTTATTAAGCATAATCAAGTATGGAATATTCAAATATGACCTCGGTTGTTGAATATTGAAGGGTAACTGTAATCGGCTATTCCAATTCTGCTTCTCTCAGAGATTTTATTCTCATTCGAAAAATTGTATACCTTGTAATATACAACGGAAACGGTGAGGAAGCTATACTGACCTTACTTGGCAGACGTTTTTTTGTCTCGCCTCCCTCCCCAATCAAGATAAAAAGTCTGTGCTAATGGTAAGCTGAGAACTCGATTTGGGATAACTTCGGTTTCACTTGTTAATTTTAATGTAGCTCAATAGCTCATTGAGATTTTTATCATAATTCTCTCAACCTTTCCTGGATTACTTAAATCTGCTTTTAATTTCAAGTAGTAATAATCCTATATTATTTTATTAATACTATTACAGTAACTTTTGTTTCAATGTAAAAATTATTTATTTTTTGTTTAATTATCTTAAAGAGATATTTTCTTAATATGTCAACAGGTGGAGATGGGTGTGATAAGAGCGGGGTTGAAGGCGGGCTAACAATACAGCAGCTGGAACCAGTAGCTTTGAATGGGTTTTCTCACGGAAGAGCAGTCACCAATGGCTTCATCCCATGTTCCATCAACATCACCAACAACCCGTTAGCCGACTCTCATCAAGATAAAGTAAGGCCACGCTCCATATTTATCTAAATAATGGTCACGTCCATTTTTCAACATCATGTATTTTTAAAATTATGTTAAAAGTTCATCATAAAACAGTCATTACTAAAAAATCATGATGTATTTTATAGATCTTAAAATAATGAGAAATAAACGAATTGAAAATTTTCCTCAAATAGAAATAATTTATTGAGAATTCAAAATAGTTTTTTTTAATATCTGATTTGATTTTTCTTGATAAAACAAATTATTTTTCAAGAAATTAAATATGTTTGATTTAGACACGAGTTTTATTGAAAATCATTTATGATGATGAATAGTCAGAATTTTTATTACAATTTTTTTTTGTAAACTGGTTGCCAATGTTTTTGCCCATGTAGTTCATCATTAGGGCTAAAATTAAAAATTGCATCAGAAATATAAGTTAGCGACAGAAATACATAAATCAGCTAAGAGAAAAAAATAAATTGTACATATAAGATAATATTAATATAAACATAATAGTAGTACACCAAGAGAATGGATAGTGCACATCAATAAAATTAATATATATTTTTTAATGTACTGTTTATTTACTTAATTTTTATGCACTATTTATCTTTCTTCTCTTATTGTACATTATGTTTACAGTACTATTATGCTTATATCATTGCTTTCTCTTATTGTATTATTATGTTTAATATTATACTTATATTACTACTATCCTATGTGTACTATTTATCTCTTTGAACAATAAAGTTTTTTTTTACTTTTCTTATTGCCTTAATAAGTCATTGTAAGTCAAGCAAATTTGAAATATTCAGCTTTCGGCAAATCTTTACATTTCAGAGCTTTTTTTTTTTTTGTCCTCCCCTTCCTCGCCTTTTAGGCTACATGGGGGTTTCCCGGTACAGGAGAAAGAGGATTAATGCCAAAGTTATAGCCCCTCCCAGTCACCGGGACACGAATTCTTTTGATTATTTCCAATCAAGTTGCGGAGGACACAATGCTGTTCACACACGATGATCCGTTCGCCCTTCCTTTATTGTGCATGTCTGTGCCACAATTATCTCTTGAACAGGTGGGCTGTTTTATTGTTTGTTTTGTAGGATCTTGGCTCTGGTTGCTTGTGTACGAAATTTAACATCCTTTGCATTGAAGCAGATAGCCAAAAATCGTTTTTATCTATTGACTGCAGAGAGACTTGAATATTAAGGTAGATTGAGCATATATAGCTGCCAGTCATATATAATGGACCGGGTTAATGCATTGGTGCATTCCTTGTGAAAAATCTGATATAATTAAAGAAATGTGATATAATCTCCTTAATAATATGACATTAAATTGTATAAGTAGTTGTTTTATAATAATCTATGATTGGCTGTTTTACAGAATGCAATGGAACTCTCTTGTATGCGAAGGCATAACAACAACTGTCCTTCCGGTGCACCAGCTCAATCGGGAAGTGATTGGTGTACACCTCCTCCAATAATGGCTCGCACCGGTGAAAACTATGTGTGACATACAGCATTCCATTTCTAGCTGTTGATTGGTTAGAAATCTCCTAATGAGCAACCAAGACTCATTACAGAGTGCTCAGGTGTTATTTATGTTTTCACTGAGTGGTATTGTTTTTTTGTTTATTTTAGTTTTGGCTCGTTTCATAAACTGCAGCCAATTCTTAGACTGAAATTTCGAAAGTTCATAATTATTCAATAGTTTTACTTACCGATGACTGATTATGAAGAAATAATTTATATAACTTTTTTAGAGTCAAAGAGATAGAAATTATTTTTTAAAGAAAATATTCAAAAACTATAAACTTCTTCCAATCTCTTCAGGAGGCATACTAGATCAGAAAATATTGTTGATAGAAAATTTCAAATTCAACAAAAAAATACAAAGCATTTTTTTATTCCCCAAATAGCTCTAATAGAATAAAAAAATATATAATAGTATGAAATATCTTAATTTTTTTAAATGCCTCATGAAGTTAGTTAACTCAAAAAAAAAATTATTGATCATGAATTGCGACACATTTGAATATTTTGTGTGGATAGAAAAAAAATAATAATTTTGTTTAGATTCTATAATCAAACTTCCTTAAACAGCAGACAGAAAAACAAATAAATAAAAGACTTATATTTGATATTACTATTTTTATTTTTTTTTATTTTTATTATTTATTATACCATGTAATTAAACTTTACTTTCTATTGTATAGTAAGAGGAAGAATTGTGATAGTTTAATGATATGACTGAATGTTTTTGTATTTTTTTTTAGTGTAAAATGTGTTTTAATGCTGCATTGTAAGATTTCTTACCGACGAACAATTGAAATATAGAGTAGTAAATATTAAAATTTAATAAAATGAAACTCTTTTATCTATTGGATCTCTGAATTAACTGAACCATTTTTATCCAATAATAATACACACGTTATTAAATTACTACTTCTGAAGAATGAAATATTTATGATATTGTCTGGTGTTCATACTATTGTTTTCATTGCTTTCTGAAATAAATAATCCATAGATTTTTTTTAAAAGTTCACTTTCATTGTTAACAAAGTATTCACTAAAGTAATTCAATAATTTTTTTCTAAAATTATCAGATATTTTAAAATATATGAACACTGTCAGTATCTGAACCTTAGTTTACCAAATGCATTGTACGTACATTCAGCCATAAATAAATCAGCACATGACAATAATGTTGAGATAAATGAGGATGTTGTAGTGGAATGCTTTCCATACCACATCTCAAATACACTGTAAGATTGAGAATCAAGTGATTCTCCCTAGACTCTTGAAGAACAACAAATACTCCAAAGAAGTATTTTTTGTTCAATCTGAAAAGAAAAAAAAGAGTTGAGTTCATCATTGGGTTGTAAGAGTTTTTGTATTATTTTTCTAGTGAGGGAGAAAAAAAAGGGGGGGTATTGCAATGTAAAGTTGTCGCTGTAATATTTGTGCAATTTAGTTGATAAAACAATTTAATTGTTATTATTATTTATCACCTTAAACTTTTATGGAATTAATATATCAAGTTGTGGTTAGAATCGGTTAGAGAAATGGTTCAGTATACTAAAGAGATTATTTATAAACCTAAATGTGTATATATACACACATATTTTATATGTAAAATAATTCTAATAAACACTATGATGAGTGAGATTATGTGTATTTACTTGATAGTATTTTGTGTGTAAATATTTTGTATATAAAGGATGTAAATAAACAAATTTAACTTGTATTTAATATATATCTTTTTTTTACAAGACATTTTTTTTTGCTCATTTTTCTACAAAATTTTTGTATTCAATCGCTTTAATCTGAAAAGCATACTTTTTTAAAATTTAAATTACTAGTCAGGAAAAATAGATATATTTGTTGATCTTGTATTATAGGCACTATTCCCTCTTGTAGATACAAAACGGTTATTTGGCATTAATTTTATTTAAAGGTGCCATATCCTCAATTATTTTGCTATTCCCTCCAAAATAATTTATATGTATTATCATGGTTGTGCATAATGTAATTAGCTTTGTATATTAAGTAGAAATAAGTTGCAAATATAATGCTAGTAGTAGATTTTAACGTTGATGGCTGGTTCTCACTTGTACCAGATATGTTACTTTGTTATGGTGTCTAGATTCACTTCTATCATCGAATGTCTACCGAAGTACAAGTAAATTAATTGTAACATGAACTTGTGAAGGGTGTATGTATATTTCAGAATTAAGAATCCGTTCAGATTTCAATGGGATCAAGTGAAAATTCAATTTATGGAGATTGTTGTTTCTAATGCAATTTATAGACCATTGATACAATTCTAATAATTTAAATCAAAAATTTAATTCTCATTCACTGCTTTGTATCCATGAACAACTTTTTGTCACTTATTTCTGATTTACATGCATCCTGTATAGTTCCAAATAATAAAAATACATCTTAGGATTATTTTTATTGGTGATTAAACTTATATTGTTGGTATTTGGTGGTTAACATATCTTTAAGACTTATCCACCCAACATTCCAACTGAAGGGCTTTAATCATTATTTGTTATGACATATCAAGTTAGCTAATTGGATCCAAAATGTGCTCATGAATTTATCAGAGATTCATATTTTATGTAGTTATTTTTTTAAAGAAACTATGACTAGTATAAGAATGCGACTTTAAAGTTCTCTTAACAAACATACTGCTTATATAAAGTTAATTTTAAATGTAAAATATAGTTTTTACATTGTTAGTGTGACTAAAAATAATTTATTTTAATGTATCTAAATTATAGTATTTTTCAGAGAAAATAAAAATAAAAGAATAGACTTATGGTAATAGTGTAGAGTACTATTTTAGACTGAGATGAAATTACTCAAATAATTTACTGAGTTGTGTGCACAGTTAAAACGTGAATCAGAAAAATGTTATTTCATTAGTTATTTATGTATTGTGATAACAGGCTTAAAAATCATTTATCGAAACCTTGCCATTAGTGTAATAGTAATTGTAATATTTTATAGAATATATTATTACAAAAACATGCATTGTTTCTTCTTTTGATTCCTTTCATTATTTATGTAAATATAATAAAATGTATTTTTCTTATATCATTCTGTATATAAGCCTTGAAATGCCTACTATATTATATAAGACTTGAAAAATAGTCGAAATACAGGATGTTGTTGATAATATCAACTCCTAATCCAAAACCTCTGGTAATATGAACAAGAAAAAAAAGTTAAAGTTTACTGAAAAGATTCAGAATGAAAGTGGCTCTGTTTCTCAGTACATATTACTGGAATTGCTTTGTGTGGTTGTGTAGAAATCATATTGTGTTGTCTCAAAACAGAAAACATTAAAACTAGGCAGTAATCTAGAAGTTGAGTAAGTCAAAGTTTTTCTTTAATCATTTTTTGAAGAAGGGTGACAAAGCAGATTTGTATGCTATTAAAGGTTGGGTTGATAATTTTTAGTGTGTTTTTTTGTGTTTAGTGTTTTTTAAATATTGTTTATCTCGCTAGAAAATTTCTTTACATTCAATTTTTTTTTCACTGATGAGTCGTAGAAATACCATGAAGGCATTTATATTTTCTTGGAGTGTGCGAAGGATACAACAGTGATTACCGAAGTCTGGCACTTTTAAGGAATTTGCAAGATCAGGCAATTTCTTTAGATGATATTCCAAATTAAAAGCATAAGTATTTATGAATATCTATTAAAACCTCTCTGGACTTAAAAAATACAAATATATGGAATTGCAAAACCAACACACATAAAATAACTTCTAACTTTTCAGTCTAAGATACTACGACTAAGATATTTACACCATGGCAAGTAAATAACTACACTTTACACACTGGCTTAGACATGCCTAATAAGTTAAATGGACACTCCAACCAGCTAATAAAAAAAACGGCCACAAATATTGTACTGGAGAACTACAGAGGACGACTGAAAACGGTCTGGATGAGGGATATACTTACATAATGTTTTAATAAATTAAAGCCGTGGAAGGGGTACCATTGGGTATTGCTTTTCCTCATGCCTCTCAAGCCTTTTTAATAATTTTATTTACTATTACTTTATTGTTCTCATGATTCTGCTAGCTCATCTGTTGATTGCCAATAGTTATAATTGACAGGTGGGGTTTAATAAATGAGAGTGCAAAAAAAAGTCCAGAACAACAATTCAGTGCATTATATGTTTTTGACTTGTCAAATTTAATTTTTTTTTTTTGTTAACTGCATTGCAAATCTAAGACCGTTTTGCAAGACTAAATTATAAAATTCTCTTGGGGGGTTTTCAATCTGGAGATCAGCAATTTTTGTCTATTTAACTAAGCACTAAAACTCATGAACACGCATTCGCTTACAACTTGAATTGTAAGATAATTGGATCACAAAACAGAGGAAAAAGGTGGCCTAATACAAATATTGGGCTGTTTGGCCTGACTTCCACATACATGTCAAAACAAGTGTATACAGGCCAATGCTTTTATATGCCACATTTTTTTCCCCTAAATTTTGTGGTCCAATCATCTTTCGATTTAAATGGATAATATTAAGGTTTTAGTATCTGTATAAATTAATTAATATTAATATCTCTATAAATTAATTAATATTAATCGATATAAATAAAATAAAGATTTTGTCTGTATATTGAATAGAATCAACCAATTTTATGATATCTTTCCTTATCATACATTGCATACACCAAATCCACTTTTAAAAAAATGTTTGTCTGTCTGTATGTCTGGATTGTAACGAAATTTTGTCAGGGGTAAGCTCAGCAATGGCTTATTGTAGACTTTTGAAATTTTGACATTATATTAAGGTTTGTTTGACTTAAAACATAAGCTTTAAATGAAAAAAAAAATATTGAGTATAACCAAAGTTATGAGTTCTTGAGTAATTTTTCTAGAGATATCGGTTAATGTTGATAATAAATGTTAATAATAAACATATCTTTATAGGTTAAAGAACATTTATATAAATAAAATAAAGGTTTTGAATAGAATCAACCCGTTTCATGATATCTTTCCGTTTTATACATTACAGACACCAAATCCACTTTTAAAAAATCTGGTGTGTCCACTCACACGACTTTCCTACATATTTCAGAAAAGTTTTTATATCTTTACATATGTTCATGAAGAAACAAAAAAGAATTGAACTATATTTATTTTCCTGAAAATTGATCAAATAAAGATTTGAGTTCAATTTATTAGATAAACTAAGGCAATGAAACCGGCTTAAGGTAGATCAGTGTAAAAATTCCAATACTCACTAATATTGCTGATCAAAAACTTTTTGCTATAGCTTAGT